AGCAGACAATCCAGAGAAGTGGATGAAAGCGTGGGGAACGTAACAACGAAAGAAAGAGAAACTGAAGCCAAAATTGAAGAAGGAGGTGAAGATGAAAAGTCAGAAACAGCATCTAGTCAGGAGAGAGGAGCTGGAGCAACGAACGAGGGTCAAAGCGAAGAAGTTGTTTCCCATGGGACAGGCGGTGAAACGGAGATTGATAATGACAGAAGAAAGGCCGAAGACGAAAGGGAAGGTTACTGTGAAACAGAAGGCGAAGAAGGTGGTGATGAAAGAGGAAAGACAAAAGGCGTTGTAGAGGAAGAAAAGGAGGATGGAGGAGGCGAGGCGAAGTCAGAAGAGAAGACGACGAGTGAACAAGTAGAAAGTGGGGGTTCACAAACAGATGACGAAACTAAAGACAGCAGGGCCAGCGCTCAGGAGCTGACGACATCTTCACCTCTAGAAAAGGAAGAAGGGGCTGAGAAGGAAGTGAACGCTGAATCGGGAGCATCAACCTCGCGCAGTCGGAATGGCGGAGACTCGTCGGTGTTGCTGGACTCGGGATTTGAACCCTCGCCACGTCGAGACAAGGGCCCCAAGACGACCATCAACAGCAGCAAGCAGCAAACACGGAGCGCGCGAGGGCCACGAGGCCCCTCGAGGGGCAGAGGGCGTGGTCGGACTCCCAGGCCGTGTCGAACCGACGACGAGCAGCCGGTGACTACGGTGTCGGTCACCCAGGCCGTGCAGAGAAGCATGCGCAAGTAAGGGAATTTCGCCAACAGATGTTTAATTTCACACACAGAAGAAGGCAATGGCAAACCCCTTCTGGATCATCTGCCAAGAACGTATATGAACAGGTCCCAGTCCGAGAAAAGGATGGAAGGATCCTGTTCATATGGACCTGTCGTCAGACAGAACACTAAATAAATATAAATATACATTCACAGCAAATCACTTGAATTCGAACAAAAACCCTCTTGTAATAATACGTTTGACCTACTTCTTTCGGAGATGTCGCCCAATATTTGCAATAATAAATTACTACAATTTTTTTTTAAGATTTGGGAAAATGGAAATGTTATTAACATTTTATTGGAAAATGTCCATTACCTGAGAAACACTTCATTGTGACTGGCTATCTTACTGACAGATATAATATTTTACTTTTAAAATTTATATCAGTTACAAATGTTACCAGGTACCAGCTGGAGCGACGTATCTTCCAGGAACTCCTGGAGCTGAAGAGGTTGCAAATCCGGGCCGGAAGGGCCAACGAGCAAGTTCTTGTGAAGCGCCTAGTGGACGACTACCACAAGGCCGGCCTTACGGTCGGCATGAGGCAGTACGATGGCGCGTACACCTTCCGCAACTTTGAGAAGTACCTCTACGGTAGGCTCCATGCAACGGCCAAGCAATTTCGTAAGCTCATAACACGAATGACACTTCTTGTGTGCTACAGTCCTCTTTCCAGGGCGCATGCCCGATCTTTCTTGCTTTAGTTTCGGAAATATTTTGCCATGTTATAGCAAAGAAACGAGATGGATTAAAGTGGCGATGGACACAGGCTGTTGTGGAGCGACAATAACTAATCTAGGTAACTAGTGGCATTTCCTATACTGTATTCCAGAATGAATGTTTGTACTGATGACTTTTTATTGTCAGATCATCGTTTTCAGCAACTGTATGTGCAATGAGACGGCGACGTTAGCATTAGGACCGCAACAGGAGCGACCTTTGAGTTCCATGCAAAGTGTTTTACGTTCCAGACCAATTGAGAGTCCTCCAGAGCTCGGACAGGCGTTTAATCCCTCGTTTGAAATCATCGGACGACCTGGAGAAGCTGACTGCAGCACTTCGACGCGCGCGGTTCAACAGCGCGTACCTTGACGACATTCCAGACAACCCGATATTATGTACACACGGTACCCATCGTTGCCACCACGCCGCGCATGCGTACACTGGCGTTCCCTGCGCTGCATACGGTACGTATACTACAGATATATTTGAAAATCTATGAAGAAAATATATAAAATTCATGGAGTGCGACTAGCTGAAGGACCATCATTTCACGAAACTCACGAGCAGCCACTGATATGTTTCAGTACCGAAACTGAACCACCAGCACGCACCCAAGACCGGGCACACCGGTTCGTCCAGAGGCGGCTTCTTACCCATCATAGACCCCAACGTTAGGGGCGTTTCTGCAGTCACTCGTCCTCTTCGCTACGTGGACCCGGCCCGTCCCGTCACCCTGGAGCTAAGCCACGGGTCGGACAAACAGGTGATTTCCTTACCCACTGACCGACTGGACCGCAACAAGCGGTACTACGTCACCTTCACCATCAAAGGGGGTCCCAACGGCTCCAAGGAGGACAAACAGGCAGAGACCTCAGAGGAACATGTCGACCTCAGACACAGGCACGCCAAGAGCCTGTGAGGACAGACAGACAGACAGACAGACTGAGGAAGGGCTGTAAACTCTGAAGGGTTCCGTGCTGCTTCGTTTACGGGATGTCTCGGACTACGACTGGCTGTAATCACTGACATTCCTCAGTCACTCCAGACAAATGCCAAGACAGTCCCCATGAAATACGCGAGGGCAATTTTGTTCTGGGTTATAACGCCGGTAGATACCAACGTTTCGGAGGAACATTCTGTCTCGATATTTCAGCCCTGAAGATGGAGAAAGTATGTCCCTCCAAAACGTCGATAACTACCTACGAGTCCACACGATTTTACAACCCAGAAGACATCATCTTCACCGCCGTGAGAACCTCGAATGGCATGGAGAGTTTACTTCCACAACCCATCCAGTTCAATTCATCATTCACGAATCATCGAATCCTTCCGACTCAATGTCCACAGCGCTGGCCATTTTTGAGATTTAAGTCCATCGCAACGAATAAGTTAAACTTCATAATCGTTTTATTTTTATTATTCTTTTATTTTATAGCGTGGTGTGATTTAACAAATAAACAACTATACACTAAAATTAATATATTAGTTATAAAAGCCTAACAAGTAATTGGATACGCATAAACATTAATCTCTCCCCATGACTGAGCCACGGGTGTGATTAGGGTACACCCCGTTTGTGCCAGTGCCCATACGAAATTAGACTGGGCGAGGCACAAGAAACTCTGACAGCGCTAAGAATTGACCTCCGATTATAATCGGTCAATAATTATCTAGCCCGCAGTCAGTTCCTTTACTAAGTTTTCCCCGATATCAAAACATGGGTATGTACTACATATACGAATTTTATATTATATTATATATATATGAAAAAATCTCAGGTCCTAGTATTTCTTTAAATTGGTGCGGAATTATATTTTTTTAGCGAATAACTAATTTATTAAAATGAGGAGTTTGTATCTTTGTGATAAAAAGTACACATCTTAAAAATCACATTTCAGCGGATATAATGTCCTGCTGGAGGTACAGGAAGATCCAGGATAAGATTTTAATGAATAACTATGGTTTCGAAATGAAAAAAACAATTGGAATTCCTATATCACATTAATATACAAACCCTTATTTTACTTTAGCTCTATTCGTTTCTTTCTTTCTACTTATTTATTCCTTCCTGTATATATTTACTTTCTTAATTCTTCCTCTCTTCTTTATTTGTTACTTTCTAGCTATAATATTTATCATTCCGTCAATGTGGCTTCTTCTCGACGTGCACCGCAAACAGTCAAACTCTTTGTGACGCCTGTTGCAGACCGAGACACCTCTACCGTAACGGACGGACAGACCTTCCTTCGTTCGAGTGCAGATCGACGCTTTATGACGTTCAAGAAAATAAATTAACTAAGTACTGAGGTGAGAATGGCGTTTGTGTGTGTCCAACAACTGGCCCAGGGTTCAATTCCTGGCCAATCCGTGTAACCGACGATAATGTAGACAAAACGGAAAAAAAAAATGTCTATTTTATCTGACTGCATATTATGTCCAATGTTCATTTGTGTTTAATATATTCGACGCTAAGTGATCCATGTGACTTCTGCTGCTTCGATAAGTCGCGTGGTTATCAGTCAAATGAGACTGTCAGCAGATCAAGACATGAAATTACTGACAGTAGACACTCAAAGCGATCTCAATATACTCTGGTCTCTAAAATATGAGCTGTGTAAACCAAAATCTAATTAAACCACAAGTAAATAAACCTACGAATATATAATCAAAAAAAATTAATATTTCTATATTTTATTATTTTGTGTCATTAATGCTTTTTTCCATCCATAATTAAACTATTATTAACAAAACCAAGTAACAGCATAAGTTGATACATGTAACTAAATAAAAGGTGAATCAATATAATAAAATTAAGATTAACGTAAGAAATCAAATTCAGAAAAAGGGTGAATTATTTTACTCCTAAAATTTGAATAAACCGTCGATACGTCTAAAAATGCAAACTAAAATACCTTGAAGATATTAATGCCCGTTTATCAGGTCCGCATTATAGCTTCAATCCTACTGAACACAGGCTAACACGATAAGATTTCAGGTTCTCACGCCGGAGAGTATGAAGACGACTGGCATTCTCGTCGCCCTAACGGTGGAGGCAGTAGGTTCTTCTGAAACGTCGATGAATTTCTACCAGACTACAGTACGGGACATCCCAAAAGGCATCCGCCTTTAATCTGATTCGAGTTTACAGTCCTTGAAAATGACTCCACATGACATATAGGCGTAATGAACACGTACATCTCCCTGTGACGCCGATTAGAACTTCAACTTTCGTGAGGAAGATTATAACGATCAGTTCAATACGACGCTTACACACGTCTGAATGTGTTACTGTAAGATAATTTGTAGAATATGGTAAATATGAACAATGTTATGCGCTCATGGTGTTATTTAATTTTCAATCTGAATCACCGAATGTATCACCGACTAAGACTTCTGTAAATTGTCTATTGCTTTATCTGTCCACACAATGCAAACTACCAGCGAGAACTTAAGTCACTCGTGTATTTTCCTTAAGTACATTTTAAACACAGATATAATAATATTTAAGATTAACAGGACGATGTTCTGAAGTTTTTTTTACAATTCATGACTACAGGATTTATGTTAATCAAAATTATCAGTCGAGAATTCTGTTTTAACTGGCGCATATTTGAGGAGTTTATTCAGGTCCTTCCAAAACTGAGTCAACATGACTTAACTGGCCTAATTTAACGTAATAATCCCGGAATTTTGAACGCGTAAAAATTCTGGTACGTTCGACAGTATTTCATATTTGACCTTCGTGAAGGACACTAATGACGTCACAGTCCGAGGTTCTCCTCAATTTCATTGTGTATAACAACAAAACACTTTAGGTGTTTCTCCTGTAATTTTAGTGCAGATACTATATTCATGTTCAAATAATACTGTAATCGATTACATTTTCGAGCAATTCAGTAAGGGGAATTACGGTGTAAACTGTATTCCGACACAGCCAGCCAACCAACGAGGTTCTGTAAGGAGACGTGAAAACCCAAGGTAAGTTCTGGAACTGGCATATCAAACCCTGCAGTCAAGAACTTTCTGATACAGAGTCCTTACTTCGATCCTCTCAAGATTTCATTACTACTGTCATACTGATCCTTGGATTACTTCACGACGACATTTAATGACACCATAGCAAGGAATGAAATAGGAAGGTGACGATGAAAAGTATGCAACGATTTGGAAGGAGTCGGTCAGAAGGCTGTTAAGATGAATCCCGCCGAATTAATAAGTGAAATAAGTCTGCTACCTTCTTGTGTGTGCGGGAGAAGTTAATTTGTTGGATTTAGAATATAATACATGAGATGATAAAGTTGCGTCATATTGTGATAAATATATATTTGTTTAAATCTTGTCAGTCTAATCACAATAAAATTCCTATTAAAAATATTAAAATATTACCATAATTAACATTTAAATATTTAAAATATATTAAATGATATTCTCTATCGAAATGTTCGATTTACATTAGAACATCACTTAATCATTTAATATATTTTAAATATTTAAATGTTAATTATGGTAATATTTTAATATTTTTAATAGGAATTTTATTGTGATTAGACTGACAAGATTTAAACAAATAAATATAATACATATTCTTCTGCAGGCTAGCAAATAACGTGGTCTAGAAAAATCCATACATATAATGAAACTATGTATAAGAGAATGAACGAATAACAAAACCGAAATTAACAATGAAGTTGTAATGAATAATTTATTTTTTTAATCACAATACCTAGAATAAACTATAAAATTATCAATGACGTACGTAATAAGACTATCAGAAAATTGAAAACAATAAATTCTTTAAATTGGTGGATTTTTTTACCCATAGTCTGACGTTATAAAATCACACAACGTTTCGAGGATTGGAAAAACAAATTTTTTTTTAATCTACAGGAAAATTATCATGCTGAAGTTACTTTTGCTCCTGATGATGCTGCAGCCCGCACGGTTTGTTCCACTCAGCTCCATGCTGACTCCGCGTCAGCAACACGTCATATTGTGCGCGAGAGCCATAATGACTCGACACTTCATCCCTGGACGAGTCACACTTGTCTCAGCACCAAACATTCCTCATGACGTGCATATACGTCATCGTTCTCTTAGCCTCACCCCATCGCATTGGTGTGACCATTACCTGATGGACGTCATGTTGGCTACTTTAAATACGGAGCAGATGTGGCCTTTAACTTTATTTCGACCACAGGATTCTATCACTCGTCCAAGCTTTTCGAATAATTTTGGCAAACATTTGTGGATAGAACAGCACATCATAATAGTCTGGGTAGTGAAAGACAAGACGGATGAGCATTTCAGATTAATTTACGATACTAAATACACTATAAATACGGTGATGCATACGTCACGTTTCGTTGTAATTGTATTTCATGAAGGAGCTGAGAACATAAAAGTATGCAGAGTAATGTTCAGTGAAATTGTTTCTACTCATATGTACAACGTACAACTCGTGATACCAAATTCAGGCGAAGAAATCGATGGTTTCGAAGCAATAGACCTGTTTACATGGTTCCCTTACCAACCAGAAAAACAATGCGGCAAATTTAAACAAGTCACCAAGCTCGATCAGTGGATAGAGGAAGATGAAGGAAGATTCATGAACGGAGTAGACTTATATCCAAACAAAGCTCCTAAAAATTTCCAACGCTGTCCAATAAAACTTTCGAATTATCAGTTTAAGAATCGCATTTCTCGATTACTTGAACCCGTCGAAGGAAAGGTCGTAAAATTTATATTTTCGTCGCTTAACCTCAGAATTTCTGTCGCCAGAGTGCCTGACATCATATTTGGAGGTGTAACACTAAATTTCTTTGGTAAAATCAACAAAAACTCTATTACATTCCCTCATTTGTTCACGACGTTGAAGTGGTACGTCCCTTGTGCCAAACACGTTCCTCGACAAGGCAACTTCACGAAAGTGTTCTCATGGTCTCTTTGGCTCGCCACAGCCTCCGTATCCCTGCTCGCAGTAGCAGCCATATTCTGGATATACAAGAGTTACCGCGAGCCTCGCAGTGTAGCTGAATGTTTCCTCGAGGTGTCGGCAGTGGTTCTAGGGGTGTCAGTGTCCCAGGCTCCTCGCGCGTGCGGCCTCAGAGCGTTCTTCTTAATCTGGGTGTGCTACAGCCTTGCCATCAGCACGGTGTTTCAGGGATTTTTCACCAGCTACCTGGTAGACCCAGGGCTACAGGACCAGATCTCTACGTTGGAAGAAATGCTGCAATCCGGCATAAAATACGGAATACCGCCGACTGAAGAATTATTTTGGTGCAACATGACTGAATTCAACAGGCGAACATGTGATCAAGTTACGATATCACAAAAGAATAAATTACTCTATTACAATGATTTCATTGGGAGAGACGATACTTCTCTTCTAGCACACGACGTAGAAATGGACGTCGTGCTATCTTGTCTCAAGAAGCCGCGTGCTTGCTCATTTTCGGACGGCTGTATTGAAGTAATGTTCGCCATATATTTTCCAAATGGCATAAAAAGTATATTATACGAGCCATTTAACACTGTGGTGATCAGAATGTTTGAGGCAGGAATCACCGAGAAACTGAAGGACGATTCTTTCATGGAACTGAGGAGCTCTCTGCACAATTCTTACTTTGCTAAAACCCTCAAAGAAGAAATGCGAAGAACAAATTTTTCATTTAAAAATTCCACATATTCTGACGATATTGATGGGGATGGATACTTCGTATTCTCCGTTTCCCATTTGCAGATGGCTTTCTATATTCTAGCATTTGGTAAAGTAGTCAGCTTCGTCATATTTATAGCAGAGATAATTTATAACAAAGTGTAACACAGCGATTAAAGTTTCAAGACAACAAAACTTTGCACTATGTGATGACGAGCATAATTTCTGTTCTTGGTTAATACCATATTCTGCGTTCTGCAGTTCTATAACACGTAGTTGTAAATCGAGTTACTTTTTTGAAATTCAAATAACTGCCATACACAACATTATAAGGATTAAAACTATTGCAAGTCAAGGAAGAGATCAATATTTTATCTTTGCATAATCTATTGCAAAATTAACGAACTCATGTGCCGATGTAAAATTATAGCTTAGGCTATTAATTAATTAC